TCTGGATAGTGTATTATCTCGTCGTTTCTCTCTGCTGCCTCTATCTGCTGCTGCTTCTCTGCTGCAGCAGCAACCATCAATAATGCATTTATCTTTTTGTGGTAGCCCACTAAAAGGAACAAGAAAACAGAGAGGTGCCTATACACCCCAAAGCCCTTCATTCACAACAGCAAACGCACTCAATACAGCCGGCGTTTCTTGTCCTCGTTGTGCAGCAACACGCAGGTGGAAAGCACCAGATATATACAGATAAACTGCTGCAGCAGCAGCAAGTGTTCTAGTTGCTGCTGCTGCTGTTGCTGCAGCAGCAGCAGCAAGATTGTGGCGGCGTTTGTTTTTTGGGTTTTTGTATCAAACTGCGGCGGAATTTTATTAATAAAAATAAAATAAAATAAAATAAAATAAAATAAAATAAAATAAAATAAAATAAAATAAAATAAAATAAAATAACATAACAATAAAATAAAATAAAAATAAAGGGAGACTGAGATAGAGACAGAAGAGACAGAGACAAAAGTAGAGACAGCAGAAAGGAGACAGAGAAATGCGTCTATGTTTTTGTTTTTTTTTTAGGGTTTAGGGTTTAGGGTTTAGGGTTTAGGGTTTAGGGTTTAGGGTTTAGGGTTTAGGTTAGTGTTAATCAAGAAGATATAAATTAAAATAGAGAAAAAAAAAAGTGAGGGTTTATTGGTTTGCTGCTCGTATCTGCAGCTGCTGCTGCAGCTGCTGCTGCAGCTGCTGCAGCATGGGGTGTCTCGGCGAAGCAGCAGCAGCAAGAGCAGCAGCAGCATGTATACTGGACGACGGCAGCAGCGGCAGCTGCTGCTGCAGCTGCTGCTGCGCGCTCAGCAGCAACTCACCATAGTCTTCGCCTACCTGCAGCAACACAAACCCTAAACCCTAAACCCTAAACCCTAAACCCCCAGCAGCAGCATCTTGTCTGTCTGTGCAAGCAGCAGCGGGCTACCGAGGATGAACTATTGAGGGTTTAGGGTTTAGGGTTTAGGGTTTTAGGGCTTAAATGTATAGAGGTTTAGGGTTTTAGGGTTTAGTGGGTTTAGGGTTTAAGGTTTAGGGGGGTTAGGGTTTAGGGGGTTTAGGGTTTAGGGTTTAGAGGGTTTAGGGTTTAGGGTTTAGGGTTTAGGGTTTTACCTGTGCGAGGGTTGTGCAGAGAGCGAGTACCTCTCTAGG